TGGCTTTGGAAAGGAAAGCCAGCGCTTTCTATCGTTTTCTACTCATCATTTTAAACACGATGTACAAGATGAACAGGTTCTGATAAATCATGTAACGCAACGTGACGATCAGGAACATATTAATAATAAAGATTATTTATAATTAGGACTCGATAGCATCAACTTATATAAGCCAGATGACTGATTGAGATCAACCTCATCAGAATCATGGAATAAATTTCTAAGCGCACATTGAATGTGATCAGTGGAAAAAAATATCACTATCTACTCTCTAAATTTCTTGAAGTGAAATTTCATTTAATTTAAAAAAATTTTACTTAAAAAATATAGTAACTATGTGGAGTTACTTAAATTTGAGTGATTTTTTACTTATATAAAATGAATCCTTCATTCTGAATGATGGGGTGAATATTTTTATTCGAAATTTTGGCGAGTCTGATGTGCTTCACATCAAATGTGAGTAACAAACTTACTCATTTTAATTGATTGAAACATTCACTTATATCGAGTCAGATCACTCTAAGCTTGAATGAAGCGTTCATTCGTGCGATTTTGAGTAGCAGAGTACTTATTACTGCTTCGAGTGAAAATATTGCCATTTCTCACTCGTTTTCTGTGAGATTTTGCTCCAAGAAGTTTTGGAGAATAATTCAATGTCTCTTCTAACTAATTTTAAATAAACATGTTCAGCACTGTTTGCATCTTTCTTATACCACCTCGCCATCTAGAAGACGTTCCTATTGTTGCCTACGACAATATATCGCACCTCTCTCTCTCTTTCTCTCTCTCTGTCGCTCGCTCTCTTCACTCGCAATTCGTATCACTGGCCGGTAATTGACTCCGAGACGAAATGACACGGTAGAGGCTCGTCGGCTGCGCCACACACGGCGAGGGCGACGCGAGCGGGGTGGGTTTGAAATCAAAGCGTAATGGGTTGAACGGTACAGCCGCATTAAAACCGCGAGCGGAGAAAAATATTTCCCATTAGCGCTCATTGAGCGCGGGGCGGCCGCGTGATATACGGCCGCGGGGCTCCGTAATGCGTTCAGCGTGCGTGCAACGCGTGCGTGGTGCAACGCGATGCGTTCGACGGCAGCCGGTGCGTCGAGTTAGGAGTGCGTGTCTTCGGCCTGCAAAGTCATCTAACCACGAAGTCGCGGCGCACTCGCGCTCCGCGGGCTCGGAACCGCTCCGACTAACCGGCCTGCCGGCTGGCCGGCGCGGAGAATAACATTTGTTTGAAATCGTAACGGTGTTTACAGCCGTGTAGAAGGCCGCAAACCGCAGAGCGCGGCAAGGCTGCTGCGTCTGTCAAGGCTGTTATTACCCGCATCGGCGATCGACCGCGGATTAGCCTGATTTCGGCGCGCCGGCCGCCGAGCGCGTGCCACACAGTGAGAAAAAAGAGACAGAAAGAGAGACGCAGAGGTTCCGGGATTAATAGCGAAGTCGACAGATTGGTCAATGCGAGGTCGCTTCAAGCATTAAGTTAATAATCTCGATCCTTACCTCAGACTGCTTCGAGGGGAATAAATCTAATCCGAATGGATTTACATATATTTTCGCGCTGCTCTCTGACAAAGAAACGAATTCGATTACGAGCAAAGTAGGTTGCTAAAAAAATTAAATAGGATTTCTTTATTAAAAAGAAAAAAGTTTAAAAGATTAAATTCTCTCAATGTAAAACTAGTAAAAAACTAACTATTGACGAAAGAAGCATCGTCTTACCAGGGACAGAAATTAGCCGGTAACCGAAGTTCCTGATCAGTTCTAGACTAGAAAGAGGCCGTTCTTTTTACTTAGGACATCTATGGAGAAGGTGATTCTGGCGGATTATCAGGCATAGCCTTGAATGTACACGAGCGCGATTGTTAATCATATCGAGAGACGAGCCGCCGGCGGCATCCGGTGATCAGCGGTGGCGCTTACGACCGCTAAAAATTGGCTCTTTAAAAGTGTGTTTGAACATCGACAAGGTCCGGTTATAACCGCTTATTTATTCGCCATAATGAATTAGGCGCTCAGTACGTTCTCCCGCGGTAACGATTACCGACCATCATCCCGGAACGGTCAACGATCAGAACGTCCACAGATACGCCTCAGCTCTCTCTCTCTCTCTCTCTCTCTCTCTCTCTCTCTCTCTCTCTCTCTCTCTCTTTCACTCTCT